GTTATACTGTAAGTATAGCACGTTAACCTGTAAGTATAACACATTATCTTATAAGTGTAGAACGTTAACATGTAAGTATAGAATGTTATCTTGTAAGTATAGCACATTAACTTGTAAGTATAGCACGTTATATTGTAAGTATAGCACATTATTCAGTAAGTATAGCATGTTAACCTGTAAGTATAGCACATTAACGTGTAAGTATAGCACGTTATACTGTAAGTATAGCACGTTAACCTGTAAGTATAGCACGTTATCTTGTAAGTATAGCATGTTAACCTGTAAGTATATCACGTTATATTGTATGTATAGCACGTTATTCAGTAAGTATAGCACGTTAACATATAAGTATAGCACGTTATCCTGTAAGTATAGCACGTTAACCTGTAAGTATAGCATGTTAACCTATAAGTATAGCACGTTATTCAGTAAGTATAGCACGTTTCAGTAAGTATAGTACGTTAACCTGTAAGTATAGTAGGTTATCTTGTAAGTATAGCACGTTAACCTGTAAGTATAATACGTTAACCTGTAAGTATAGCACATTATATTGTAAGTATAACACGTTAACTTGTAAGTATAGCATGTTATATTATAAATATAGCACGTTATCTTGTATATAGCACGTTATATTATAAGTATAACATGTTATATTATAACTATATCACGTTAACTTATAAGTATAGCACGTTAACCTGTAAGTATAGCACGTTATATTATAAGTATAACATGTTATTCAGTAAGTATAGCACGTTATTCAGTAGGTATAGCACGTTATACTATAAGTATAGCACGTTAAGGTGTAAGTATAGCATGTTATATTGTAAGTATAGCACGTTAACCTGTAAGTATAGCATGTTATATTATAAGTATAGCACGCTATCTTATAAGTATAGCACGTTATATTGTAAGTATAACATGTTATATTGTAAGTATAACACGTTATTCAGTAAGTATAGTACGTTAACCTGTAAGTATAGCACGTTAACCTGTAAGTATAGCATGTTATACCGTAAGTATAGCACGTTATTCAGTAAGTATAACACGTTAACTTATAAGTATAGCACGTTAACGTGTAAGTATAGCACATTATCTTGTAAGTATAGCACGTTAACCTGTAAGTATTGCACGTTATGTTGTAAGTATAACATGTTATTCAGTAAGTATAGAACGTTAACATGTAAGTATAGCACGTTAATCTGTAAGTATAGCATGTTAACTTGTAAGTATAGCACGTTATTCAGTAAGTATAGCACATTAACCTATAAGTATAACACGTTATCTTGTAAGTATAGCACGTTAACTTGTAAGTATAACATGTTATCTTGTTAGTATAGCATATTAACCTGTAAGTATAGCACGTTAACCGATAAGTATAGCACGTTATACTATAAGTATAGTACATTAACGTGTAAGTATAACACGTTATATTGTAAGTATAGCCATTAACCTATAAGTATAGCACGTTATCTTGTAAGTATAGCATGTTATATTGTAAGTATAGCACGTTAACCTATAAGTATAGCACGTTAACCTGTAAGTATAGCACGTTATATATAGCACGCTATATTATAAGTATAGCACGTTATTCAGTAAGTAGCGCATGTTAACCTGTAAGTATAGCACGTTAATTTGTAAGTATAGCATGTTATACTATAAGTATAGCACGTTATTCAGTAAGTATAGTACGTTAACCTATAAGTATAGCACGTTAACCTGTAAGTATAGCACATTATACTGTAAGTATAGCACGTTATTCAGTAAGTATAGCACATTAACTTGTAATTATAGCACGTTAACCTGTAAGTATAACACGTTATCTTATAAGTATAGCACATTAACCTATAAGTATAGCACGTTATATTGTAAGTATAGCACGCTATTCAGTAAGTATAGCATGTTATTTTGTAAGTATAGCACATTAACCTGTAAGTATAGCACATTATATTGTAAGTATATCACGTTATTCAGTAAGTATAGCACGTTATTCAGTAAGTATAGCACGTTAACCTGTAAGTAAAGCATGTTAACATGTAAATATAGCACTTTATATTGTAAGTATAGCACGCTATACTTACAGGATAACATGCTATACTTCCTGAATGACGTGTTATACTTATTGGTTAAAGTGCTATACTTACAAGATAACGTGCTATAATTTCTGATTAACGTGCTATACTTATAGGTTAACGTGCTATACTTTCAATATAACGTGCTATACTTACAGGTTAACGTGCTATACTTACTGAATAACGTGCTATACTTACAATATAACGTGCTATACTTACAGGTTAACGTGCTATACTTACTGAATAACGTGCTATACTTACAATATAACGTGCTATACTTACAGGTTAACGTGCTATACTTACAGGTTAACATGCTATACTTACAGGTTAACTTGTTATACTTAATGTATAACATTTTATACTTACTGTTATCATGCTATACTTACAGTTTAAGGTTCTATACTTACTGTATAACGTGTTATACTTGCATGATAACGTGATATACTTACAAGTTAATGTCACATAATTTATCTATCATCAAATCTATCTATCTATCATCAAATCTACCATAGAAGCCACATAACAACAGTAATATAACCGAAGAATGCAATTGACAAACTATATACAACGTTCATGCAAACATATGTTTCATAATGACAAACAAACTATATACAAGTTGCATGACAAACTATATTCCAACAGCAGTCCCACAGGCTTCATAATGACAAACATATGTACATACTGACAAACATATATTAATACAAATACTTTACAAAAAATTTCCAAACATATGTTTACACTTGGTTAACTATTGATATCACATTTGGCATCTAGCATCCGGGGAATTAGTCTTGAGGATCACGTTTGTCTCCTGAAATCAAAATATAGCCGGATCAAAAGAACAATAGAGCAATAGACTGAATATAAGCAGTTAAATAAATATTACACTTATATCAAATATACCTTCAGATAGAAATAGAGCAACGATACGAGCTCTATGTCTTGCACAATCCTTTTGGTCAATTAAATTTGGTTGATCGGAAACGAGGCTAAACATGTACGCCATCAAAAACACCCCGCAATCCAAGCTACTACAAGTTCAAATGTTTGCAATATCAATATAACACTCTTGGCCCGCAATTATATAGTTTCTATGTGTTAGAACATACGAAAGAACAACAAATGAATAAGTCGAATACACTAACCCACGTTGTTGAGGTACGTCTAAGTTATGTGACGATGCTTGCGTTCAGCAACTCCAGCAACCTTACTAGTAAAGGTGCTTTCGAGCCTATTTTAAGGGCCCCTATGCTACGCCCTGTATCTTCACTCCGTAGTTTGCACCGTTTGCTTGAGCGCTCACGGCTTTTTGGGTAACTTTTTGTTGACTTGTCTCTGATTGATAACGAATTCTTACAATACGGTATTTTTGGAAAGCAACAGTAGTAGAATTGTCACTTTTCTTAACAAAAATAATTGACCGAAAGACAGGACATGTAGTACACTCAAACCTCTTACACTGATTGCTTTAAGGAATCCCCACTCAGTTGCTATTGATTGAGTGAATATACACATGACACAAAGTTATAACGCAAGTTTCTGCATATTTTATTTTGCTCTCTAGATATTTCCGTAAAGTGAAATTAGTTCTCTCAGCTCCTGTTGAATATACAATGCAAATGGACATTCACTTCAATATTTACTTGTGTGAGTGTAAATTTGTACTTTGGTCATAAGAAAGAATATTGCAGCAATATCTCAGAAACTTAAAGAGGATAGTTCTTGATCAAGTCTAAATTTTAAATGTGTGTTCAAGACCTCTAATGCAGTGGTGGGGTAATGTAATTACGTGAACTAAGCTGATGACTCTTAAGTAATACCCATTCATCAGTGCATCTGTGCAGGTTCATTATCTGTACATTTGTCCTTGTCTTTTAGTTAATTATACCATGATGAACTTAGGCTCCATCATCCAATTTTACTCCCTATAAACCTTTTTTCATAAACATGTGTTTTCTTTATTAAAAATTTACTAAAAGAATCTAGCATACTCCATACCCACATCTTAGTGATGACACTACGGCAATTGAACATGCAAATTTGCTTCCAGTGATTGTTATGCGTTATTAGCAATTCTTTCAACCATTGAAACTCAAACAATGCAGCTTAAGTTTGAGTCTCCTACTATCTACAAACACCTACTGTTATCTTTAATGGAAATAAATCACCAAAACAAAAACCAGCTGCAATAATGCTGATACCTCAAAAAATCCCTCATCTGCGTTTACAATTTTGGCATTACCCCCAACAATATAAAACTAAACTACCATTAATTTATCACAAAATCCTCATTTTCAAAGACTAAAACAAGCATCAAAACAGATGGTGTTCACTGTTCAACATCAAGTCCACCGACAAACTACATCAGACACCAAAACCAGAAAATACCCAGAATTTTTTTTGATTGAAACTCCTCATATCAATCTATGTTTCTCATAAAAATACTTCTAAAATCAAAAAATAAATAAATACTTGAGCAAGATAGAGAGAGGGGAGTCCATACCCTCGTGGTTACAGTAGACTTGGTCGACAAGAGAGAGGGTCGAAACGCTGGGCGAATAAGAAGAGATCTCGTCTTCAGGCTCTTCCTCGATGCGACGGCAACGACGACGGCGCGAGCGACGGCGGCAAGTGGCTTTCGTTTTTTAGTTTAGGGCTGAGTTGAAAATGGTAAGGAGGAGGAGAGATATTTATATGGGGCCAATGGGTATTTTGGGGATTCTGAATAAATACAAGTGCTGAAAGTACTGTATTTTAAAGTTTGGGTTTAAAGATAAATACAAACAATGAATTGAGCTTAAAGATACAAATAATAGTACTTGGGTTTAAACATAAATAGAAGTAAACAAATGAGCCTGAAAGCAAAAACCCTTAAATATAATCAGGTGTCCTATCCAAAACCGCAAACAAACAATTACTGAACCAAAAGCTGCCATTCCTGCACCAAAAACTATATAATTCAAGAACGGATATTTTCTCATCCCATCCAAAATCTCCTTGTTCCCACCCTGAAAAAAATGTCTCTAATTCCGTTAGTAAATCCCATAAAACCCTTCTCCCTGTTTCCAAACTTAAACCCTAACCCTAAAATCTCTTCGCTAGGCTTGAAAAAACCGTCGGCTCGTTGGCGCAGGAGAGGGAACTCTAGAGTTTGCTGCTCCAATTCACCGAGAGAACCTAGATCAGCAGAGGTAATTTAATTAGGCCTGAGAACTTGTTTCAGTGTTTTAAGGGTTTTAAATTATTTGAAGTTGTAAATAATATGGTGTTTTTTTTCTCTCGAAATTTTGGATCAGAAAGAGCTGTCAATTTTGAGGCCATGGAATGTTCCCTGGGACTGGAAAGTTACAGCATTGGTCATGATGCCTTACTTGATGAAGTGAGTTGCTTCTCGGTCAAATATATTCGGTTTTTTCACACCCTGTGTTGGGATATTAAAATTTTACTTTCATCTTTTGTAAGTAAGTAGTAGATTATGCTTGTTAAATTACAGTGTTTAGTGAATAAAGGGGTTAGCTAAATTGGTTGTTGATTAAGCAGTAAGTGGTTTAAATGCACATCAGAATTAGGCAATCTGATGTACTTGCAGGGTCGGAATGAATTGATGATTGAAATATTTCGGGAGGAAGGGTTGCAGAGCTACATAGTTTCCTGTGGCATCATGTGACACCACTGGTTTGTCTACTTTACATGTATTTAATACTTAAGACACCACTAAATAAAGGTAGGACATCACTAAGTTATATGTGGACACCACTGAGATAAAATTCCAGATTCGTTACTGGGGATGAATTATAATGATTGTTGAATGTTGGCTGTGAGTTGACCAAACAACACGCACCAATATACATCTTTGCCATCATCAGGATTTAGTGGAGCACTGAAGCTGCAATGTTAACCTACTTTTCTTGGTTCTACATGGAAGAAAAATCTCCAGCTAATAGGTTAATGGCCAGAGAATCTATATATTTTCTTGATTTATTCAACCTATCTCTTATCATTGTATTCCAAAATTACAGAATTTGGAGTTATACTATCAAGCCGCCATTTTATCATTTTGTTCAAGGTTGATAACAGTTGATGCATCATTAAATGCTAATGTGCTAACACACTCAACCACACGCATGCGCTCACCCAACTGTCCTACAATTTAGAAAGCGTTCTGAAAGCCAGACCAAGCACCCAACACCAAGAGCCTAGGTGTGTGCTTCAGCAATACATAGGCGTTTTCTTAGCACTACGTTTTTAAGGAAATTCTTTCTGCCATAGTGGGAGGTGCAATACTTACAACTCTGGTGACGATGAGGAAGTTTTAGGGGATAGACTGAGATGGGAAGAATTTCTTTTTTGAAGATTCAAATACTATTGACAAGTCTAGTGGTTACAACTCTAGCGGATAAGAAAAAAGTTAACAGGGAAAATGAGAGAGGAAAGGTTTTTTTTTGTTGAAGATTCAAACTCCTATCCTCACGGCTTAATTTGAGATGGATTTAGATACAGAGTTTTGATGATCCAAACTTGTTCTTTTAACCCGTAAAATATGCTTTGTGGCAACATATCCCTTTTTCACATTGTTCAGCCTGCTTATGTGTGGCATGCTTGCTAAGGCGTTCCCAGTACTTGCCTGGAACGGCCTGAGTACCACTTAGGCTTAAGCGAATGCCTAAACAGGTATCCAAATCACTTTTTAAAACAATGCACCTGTCCACTACATCACTCATTTTACAAACGGCTGCTGACTCCCCAAACAAGGACAACCCACACAAGTTCATGCATCTTTCCTTTGCACACCCAGTCACAAATTCAGAAATTACATAGCTTTTTGGTGGAAATGGTTGTTGATATAAACATCTGGTTAATAATTGTACATGTGTCCAGAATCTTTCACGTATAGATTCTTCCACCAAATGATTTGCTGTGATCCAAGAAATGCTTTGCTGCAGAAAAGAAATAAATAAATTAATTAAACTGCAGAATCTCTTCTTTCTAGTTATATATTGAATTTTTAAATCCAACAATCCAACTTATGCAAGCCTTCTCTGGTCCATTAAACTGTTTTTTTATCTATGCAATTTAAACAACTATGATGATATAGAACCTATAAATTGTTATTTCTCATCAAACTCTTGGATCATGCGATGTAGGTTAAGTATCTTGCAGTTAGTTTTTATGTCTAATAGTTATAATTTAATTCTAGTGTTTTCAGCATACACTGAAAATATAGCGTTGAACTGCAAAGAAATATTTCCCTTTCAACCAATAAAAATATCTTTCTATATAGGCAATTGAATTTTGATTCCAAAAACTGATAGAATCATTCGAATTATTATGAAATATTTACTGAAGTGAATCAAATCATCCTTGTAAATTGAATTATTCATAGGATTTTGGGCAGTTGGTTTGCTTCATGACCAATGTATAGTACCCAGTCACCCATATGTTGGCATTTCTTTTTTTAGTTCATGAAAAGACACAATTCATGAGCTCTTTGATATAGAATCTATGATGAATAAAAAAAACACCAATATCCCAAAGGCTTTGACTGGAGTTTACTAATTTTAATTGCAAACTCTTAAGCATTCTAAGTACACTTTATCAGCATTGTTTTCACAGGAATTGTCGAATCTTCAGGACTTGCCGGAGTTCAACATCCTTACTCTGAGAATATGCTACCTCAACTTCATAGCAATGATGAAGCAATTAAGTTGTTTATGGACCAACTGTAAATGCTTTTCACTGTGCACATTTTTAGTGAAATATCCATATTTTCTGTTTATTTTACCTTCATTTTTTTGTACTTGTGCAGACTCAAATCTGTGGCTAAGCTTTCAGTTCTGTACATGTTTCTCCTACCACACCAACCACTACCAGATGACATTTTCTCATTGAGTATGCACATTATCTTGTTTACAAGGTTTTAAATATCGGATGTCGGGTTCATGTCGGACGGCTGAAATCCATGTCGGATAGCGGAAATCGGGGATATATCGGGGGACATGGACTAAATATCGGATTGTCATATCGGGTGATCCACATATGTATTATATCATGCCCTAAATGTAATCTAACTATCTAAGCATTCCTAAATTCATAACTTCATGACTCTGCACATTTCAACATTCATATGCACATTTAAAATAAAATAAATCTCTCCTTATTAATCAATAATCATTAGCCTATTATTAATCAATTAGCCTATTATTAATCAAGTGATCAAACATCAAGTAATCATTAGCCTATTATTAATCAAAATAGTCCACAAACCAAACATTCACGTGTGAAGAAGAAAAAAAGAAAAAACAGGAAAATCGGCCGATATGGCCGATTTTCCAAACAGGAAAAACGGCCGATATGGCCGATTTTTCGCCGATATGGCCGATATGTCGGTAAAAAACGATATGCGACTTGTTTTTCCCCGATTTGTGTCGTTGGACCCCTCAATCCGCTATATCGGCCGACATGTCCGACATGTCGGCCGATATTTAAAACACTGCTTGTTTACTGTGACAGCTTGATTTTGGCTGGAAATTTCAACTTTTTTTAGAGAACAATTGGCTGTTACTTTTAATAAATGATTTATGTGGTTTGAGTTCTGTAGCAGTCGTTATTTATCAGGTTCAATTTTGCAACTAGCTAGGGAAAAATCAGTTTTCAAACTTTATGACTTGATTATCAACGTCCTCTCTTACACCTTACTACATGTGTTTGATCATAAGATAGGCTGGTCCCCATGGAAAAGGTCAAATTATTAATTTCTAATTTATTTGGAACTATTTACCATATAGTATCTTCAAGCCTTCAACATTGAATCAATATGCAGTTTCTGGCCTTTATATTGAATGCTTTTTATTTATGGTAGTTTTTATCTTCTGAATGGTTAGTCTTTCTACTTTTATTCATTCCAAACTTATAACTCGTCATCATTTTGTGATATAAGGACAATGATTTATGTGTTGATATTCTAATGCCAATTTCTTCGTGTGACAGCTTAAGACATTTGGACCTTCTCTTGCTTACTCATGATCTTCCTCTTACAGAATGGAGACAGCCATTAGATCTTCATAAAGGCTGGATTATATGGGCAGGCAGCGGTTTAATAATTGCTTCATCAGCTATTTTTCTTCTCAAGCTTTTGATTTCTAGTTTATGTGCTGGCCAGACACAAAATGAGGTGCGTTTACTTGTCCTTTTTCTTAACCGTAGATATTGAATGTCAAGAGTTTACAAGAGAATATTAATCAATTTGATGCATTGTGATTAATCTATTAGCTATTTACCAACCAGTTTGGTTAGATTTTCTTGCTATTGTTGCATGCGTCACAGATTCATTGATGCTGGTCATATTAACTTTTTTCCTCTTTTTCTTTACCATTTTTTTTCTTTTTTTTTCTTTAGCTAATATTGTCTATAATTTGTTCTTTGTGGGATTTTTTTTTTGTTTTATTTATTTGACTATGTTGTAACTAACAGTGGTTTACCTATTAGCTAATAATTTTTTTTGTTTTATTGGCTTTTCCTTTACCATTTTTATTAGAAGTACATTTGCAGATGTACAAATCAAAGGTACAGTGACCCAATGACAGTTAAAATGTCTTTGTTTTTTTTAATCGGAAATTTGCGCAGGTCCCTGGGCAGACCTGTAAGTTTTATTTATTAGAAGGCATAAAGAGCCAAACAAAAAATATAGCTACAAAGGGGGATGTAAGGCCTAACCCCAGACTCGAGAACTTGATACTGGAGCACAAACAAACCCATGGATAAATAACCTGAGTTAGACAAAAGCTCCAAAAGACAAAAGAGTATATATCTCTAAACATGAAGCTATATAACTGCTGGCCGAACCTGTCTTTTGATATGAGGTAAACCTGATTTATCATCTATAAGAGCCTTTTTGACATTTTTGGGAAGTTTAAACATCTGCGAAAAAAGAGTCAAGATTAGTATTAATATATAGATTAGTATTAATATATCTTCTTCTGCCCCTTATTGGCCCACATTTCCCCATGCCTCTTGACCGACATTCTTCTAGTAGTAAATTAATAATAGTCTTTGGTTCCTGGTAAGTCTCACAAGTCACAATCTGTATGGTATTCTGTTCTTTGAGGAATCACTCTTCTGCACCAAATACTTGAAGCTGAAAAGTATACAGGAACAATCTAAAGGATAAATTGCAAAATGAGGATCTAAATAGTACTAGCAAGAGGATGATAGTAGAGTTCACAGTAATGGAAATTAAGCATCTTATATCTCTTTAACGTATCATCTTTGAGACAGAGCTGAAGTGACAAGCATTGCATGCCGCAAACTTACATTCTCAAAACTATGATATTATACTTCAAGAAAACTGTGGTGTTTCAAATTGCACCTAAGAGCTGAAGTTTTTTGCAGTTTTTTCTACAGATTTTTTTACTCATGCTTAATGGTGGAATATATTCTTTTAGTGGGCTTTCGTTTACTTTCTGTACTGTTTGTTACTTCCAGTATTGATTTGTTAAGCATATTCATACCTTTTGATTACATTCACATACTTCAGAGAAACTTGCTCTCCTGCATTCTTATCTGTTTGTTGCTTCTACTGTTGACTTGTTTGACATATTCAGACCTTTCGATGAGATTATATATGCTTCAGCCAGACTCTCCTGCATTCTGGGATTGAAAATTATTTCAGACACTCCCAAGTTAACTCACGCAGTAGCTGATATTCTAGTATTCTTGATATCTTTTAGACATGGTAGATTTTATAGGAGTAAGCAATCTTTTCTTATATGATCTCGTTGATATGATTGTGGAAATTCTGATGTTGCTATATGAGTATCTCATAAACTGAGAGTTTTTAGAAATTCAGCATTCAGTAATAGGCTATCAGACATTCCTTCGGGACTTATCCACCATGGCATATGGTATCTAGACTGTAGAACACTTTTTTATCTCAATATCGACATTTAAATGAATGCCTTCTTTTATTACTTTTCAACTGTCATGATTTGCTGGAAGTTAATCAAAGAGATCTTGTAGACATTCTAGACCCTCTGCTAGCACACCTTTTTCATAAGAGTGTGACTATCAATTGACTTAAACATTTTCAACAGTGACATACTCCTGTAATATAGGAACTTCAGCTGTTAGTCAAACTGTCTTTGCTTTTGGCACTTTATGTTGGTATCAAGCTTTTTTTTTCATGTCAGAGTTTCAGATTCCTTTTTTCTTGGTTATAGCAGACAGAATCATTGATGAGGTTGCTTCCTTTAATTGGTTTATCCAATGTCAGGTCATTCTTCAACTGAAATCCTTCAAGTTTCATATTACTTGGTTTTTCATTTTTGACTTCATAAGAAGCTCCTGTCATACTAGAATCAGTCTTTTGATAGTCATATTTTGTTTGTCAGCACTGTTTGCCTTCTTGGAGTGCTAGGAGTTTTAGCTCCGGTTTGTGAAGAGACACTGTATCGAGGTTTCCTACTGACTTCTTTAACAAAATGGTAATGAAATTCCCTTCTAAATGCAAAACCTTAGTATTGTTGATTGTTCAACTTAACTACTATGTTAGAATGCATTACTTGCTGGCAGGTTTCCTCTTCCCCTGTCAGTGTGTTTAAGTTCTGCTTTATTTACCTTGGGACACCAATCTCCCGGAAAATTTCTGGAAATTTTCATCTTTGGTAAGTATGAGCTCCCACTAAGAGACAGAATAAGTTTATATTTGGTTGGAGTACAACCACTTCTGTCATCTGTACAAATCTAGCTATTCACCTCATCTTAGTTTAGTGCTTTTATGGTTATTGTGTGACAGGAATAGTGCTGGGGTTTGTGTATTCCCGGACTCGGAATCTTCTTGCTCCCATCATAATGCATGCATGTTGGAATTCTGGTGTCATTCTATTGCTCGCCTATCTTCAGGTGGTATAACAATGTAATACTACCTTATAAATGTTAGTGTTAATCTTGGCTAGCTGACTATTTCAATTTAACTGCTCTCCAGTCGCAGGGACATGATATCCAAAAGTATGTGCAATGATCTGGTCAAAGAAACCATCAAATAACGATCATGAGCTGGATTTCGACTCTTTTGCTTAAATATCTGCTCTGGCCTCCCCATAGATTGTGGTAGGTTTATTTTCTTGTTGTAGATTAATCAAGCACTTCCGCTGAAAGATCAGCTGTTAATTTATAGTAGTAATTCAGGCTTGCTTACAAGTAACCAACATCTATTTTACTTGACACATGGTAGGGTCCCCATAGGCATTAAGTTTGAAAATAACATGAAGATTTTGCATATACTTGATACTAGATTCAGATTGACTTTTGTATTTATGTATGAGGTTGTATTGTGTCGCAACATAATTCATTATTCAACTGAGTTCACCTTTTTCTCTCTGGAAGGAAGATGGCAGTATGCCACTTAGTTTTGTTAAATAGGTTATAACGAAACAAATCGAAGTCTAGGGAAGACTTTGCAGAAGAGAACAGAAGCTTCATAAAACATAGCCACGTTTATCTAAGTTGTGAACTTCACAAAGAATCTCAGATATCTACAACGTAGATTATTATTCTCACAAAAGTCTTGAGACTCACTCCGTTTGGATGGGTACCCTTGTGCCTCTCTTTAGGGATTCCTAAGGTAAGTGTGTATAAAAAGATTGACTCTTCAAGTTCAAAAGTCAATAGTACTAATTCCCACATGTTAAGATGTGTGCGCGTGCAGTATTCTGGCGGCACTGGAATGACAAGAAGAATCTCCACCTTAGTAGGGATCATCAAGCTAAAATGGTTAGGCAAAGAAAGCGAAGTGTAGGTATATGAAGGCAGCGATTGACAGATGTATCACTTCTGAGATGTGTATGATATATAACACAGTAACTCTCTTGTTTACTAGTTCAAGTTTAGGATATATGTAGTTGGAGCTTCAAACTTGTTGACTAGTTTTATTGGCCACAGAGAGGGATTAAGTAAGAAGTGATTATAGGCATGCATTTGTCCTTAATTGATTGGGACTTATCTCATGGACCTGTTCCGAAGAAAACCTCAACTTTTGGGTCAATGATGCAGAATTAACTGGACCATATTGGTGCGATCCGTAGAGTTTTTGAGAATTGTTCTTGTGAAAGTAGTTCTATCTCAACCAATGGACCAGCATATTGATCTTTACTTGAAATTGGTCCTCTCGAGCCCATCAGTCGGTAAGGACTAACGCTAACTATACCCTGGTCTAGAATATGCTATTGAACAATGATTCTTTGAAGTAGCCTTAACCAGACTTCTAAGAACCGGCTGAGGCTAGTTTGACCAATGAAAAGAGCCACATTATTGATGGAATCAAAATTTGAAACTGCTCTGATTTATCTACGAGCGTTAGTCAAGAAGTTTAGTTGTCGTCTCCTAAGCAAAGGGAATGAAATGAGCTTCCTCTTTCATGTTCTCTAAGCTGGTTAAGCAATTTTATGGAGTAGCTCCAACAATCTCCGTACAATCCTTCTATCACGCCTCCAAATGTGCAATATAATTTGGGATATCTGGATATGTGATGATGATGATATGTGTAAGAGCATGTGTTGAGCTTATTGTGCGCTTCCATATTACAAATAATACTTCATACAAAAAGAAACTATGTTGATATATAGATTATAGAAGTCTCGGAGCAAAAACTAACAAGCTCACTCTAATAGACATAAATACTCTTGTTGATGTTAAATAATCAAACAATCAAATATGTTGGGCGTGAGGTTGATTAGGGGCCGCTCACTTCTCCGAATATCTGGTTTTGAGTTGAGTAGCTTCAGCCTGCACAAATAGCAACTTGTGAGACGAAGGGGCTTAGTTCCCCGTTGTATCTCCGACGATCAAGTCAGCTGATGAAATTGAGTGGAAAAATGAAGAACTGTATGAGTTCTTTAGTGTAGTGTAGTATGTTTCTTAGATATTGCTTTGAAAAATAGCCTACTCAGAAATTGCTAGGACAAGAATCCCTTTCATGTTGAGAATAGTAGCTCTATTTATAGTGGTGTTGAAAGGGTAGAACGGTTACTTCGGCCGAGCATAGGATGACGCTAAAGAAGTATGGATTGGCGGCTGCTCAGCACTTACTTTACACGTACCGGTCGGCGAGTGGAGGAGATATCATCTCAGCATTTAATGTGAAGTGATCGGAGGTATGTTGGTGCTGACGTGGATCCAGAGGAATATATATGCGTATATAAGAGAAAGACTCTTGGATTTGTTTGTCGATCCAAAGGAATTCGGCACCAACGATAGGTAATTTTCATTATATCCTCTCAATTCTTTGAGAGTTCGGTTGATTACTTTCTTAAAATTCTTGCGAGTTAATTTCTTATGCTCAGTTGTATATCTTATCACTTTCATAATATTTCTAATTGAATCACTTCATGTGTGGGCTCAACACCATTGCTATCTCAATGTTATTTATTTCGGTTTTATATCATTGATATTCTCTGAATCATTATATTGTGGCAGTTCGACTTGCTTCAATAATTCCGTTATTGAGAATGATAGTATTCTTTCGTTTCTTGATGGTTGATACTTTATATTCATGGATTATGCCCTATGCGAAGTAAGCTTCATCGGTGGGTGGTAATAGAAATAGGTCCCAGTGGGGACAATGCCCTATGCAAGGAGTATGTAAGGGCATGCATAGTTTATTGATTATCCTATGACTGGGAAAGTTTGGAATCCTAATTATTAGAGCTTGATTAGTTATATTAGCATCTGTTATTTCATTCGATCAATGATTATGATATGAGTACTGGTAGCTTATTGTTGAGATCTATTTGTTCAATTTTAAATATCAACGATTATGTTGGACCCTAAGAGGGGTTGATTAGGGTCTTAAGGCAATAATTGTGCAATAAAATTAAGACAATGCAATACACCAAAAAATAAAAAACCAAAGTAAATGAGATAAGGTTAGAGATCGTTATCCAAGTGACGCGCGATGTGTTAACGAGGTTCGGTCCGCTGACCTACGTCCCCGCTCCCCACTTTCGAGGAGAATCCACTACACAACCCGGTTTGGAAGCCGGAACTTTTTCTACACAACGATCTCCACGAGATCTCACAACCACACAATTGATCTCCACGAGATTAAGCTCACCACAGTAGCAAATGATGTAAAATCTCTCTCTTTACAATAACCCTATGGCAAGGAGAAAGATCACACTTGAAGCCTGGGATGTGAAGTTGAAAACAGTGAACAACAGTAATGAAAATTTTGGCTCTTTTGAAAACAATAAACTAAACACCAAGGATTTGCAATGAGCTTGGATGGCTCTGAAGAAAGGGGTAAGAGGGTTTAAATAGGAAGAAGAATAGCAGCCAAAACCCATACCCAAATCCCCTAAAATCCCACAAAAAAGATTTTGTGATTCTGTACCAAAAGTGACCATTGGGCGATCGGCGGTCGACCGTGAGATTTTTCGCGGTCGATCGCGTAGGTTTTCAAAGCCAAGGAAAGATGCTGTAAAGCCTACGATCGACCGCAGCGGTTGACCGTGGAAACTACTGTAATCAGTTCGGTCGACCGTGACGGTCGACTGCAGGAGTTAACGAGCCCTCTGTAATAGAGGTGGTCGACTGCCATGGTCGATCGCACAGGTTTCTGCTGGCTCTTGAGGGAAAAACACTGGCGCGGTCGACCGTGACGGTCGACTGCGAACTGACACAGGCTGATATATGGTTTAAAAACAGTTTTTGACATTTTATAAAATCTGTAAAAATACACAAATGATTTCTAAAAAAATGTGTAACTTTGTAAAATGTTTTTAATACTAAAAACAAACTGTTTAGAAAAGGAATTTTGCGAATAGGTCATCATACTTGTGAAAAACCATATTTTATCAAAACTGTCAAAAATATGAGTATGAAAATGTGTGTGTGATATCCCAATAGCTTCAAATGAAATCTACAACTACCTGCCTATATTCTAGCACCAGAGAGAAAATAAAAACAACAAATCTCTCTCATATAGAAATATATTTCTTAAGTCTTGATATTGCTTTTGAGTTGATGAAGCTTCTCATTGCGTTTAGTGTTCTTGATTAAACATTGCTTCATCACTATGTTTCCTCCTCCTTTAGATATCGTAGTTGTGGCTCATGTTCCATCCAATCCTCCATAAATGGTACTAACAAGCTTGATATACATATTAACTACAATATCACTCAACAAACAATTAGTACTGATAATGGTGGTTGTAAATCATCATCAAAACATAAGGGCTAACAGATTATTCCTTTCATTTATCCACTTATGTTGTATTCGATGTCTTTATGGTTGCTTATTGGGCCTTAGGCTCACCCTTACTGTTTCTGCATCCATTTGCAGGTCATATAGTTGGCAAGGGCAAGGAGATCATTGACCTTGGTATAGAAAATTAGCTCCCATGGCAATCATAGAAGGTGTTATTCTATATTTACTTTTGTAGTACTTTTGACTTATCGTACACATACTAATGTGTATTGTAATTATTATCAGACTTGTACTGTATTATTTGTCCCCTATAGCTTTCTGATACTCTGGTATTCTGTGGACTCTACTGTCAACCATGTGATTCTGGGTGTTATATATATATTTTCGCTGCTTTAATTCCACTCTTCAGTATTATTGTATATGCATAGAGGTGTTTGTAAAAATTGAGCATATCGACTCTCCTAATTATGGGTGGGTCATGTCTAATTTTTATGTACATTCTGGGAGTGTTACATTGGTGATGGAGACTGGTATTAAACGAGGAATGACTATGGCTATAGAAATATAAATGACACATTACATTCTATTGCTAGGAGATAAAAGTGACGTTCCCTTGAGCATAGTACAAACTCTCTTTCTCCAGGTTGAAGATGGAGTTAACCCCTAGATTGCCATCACCAAATAAGAAATGTGGCTTTCTAGTCTGACCCTCTTCAGGAATGGAGAACTTCACATTCGTAACGAGTTCTCTTAAGGTGGTGGCGGTACTACAATGAATTGCGTCTATCTACTCTTGACTACTTTCCTCATAGAATAGAGGAACATTGCCCCTGAAAACATGTAGTGTAGATCCTAAGTTCCATTGAGACCAAAATGATTGTGCCTGCTGATAGGCATATTCGACAAGGGAACTACATAGAGAAAGGAAGACAAACTAGAAGACTCGACTTTAAATTCAACTAAGTGTTGAGTCCTATCTATAAGCGAAGCTCATTAGACTTGCTTGAACAAAGCTGACTTATGAGAAAAGTTCGCCCATCCCCAAGCTTAAAAGGTTGACTATTACAAATCTAGCTGAAGCTAGCCCCCATAGTGGTGATTCTTAGCCCAATAACTAGACTCGTTCAAAAGCCCCGATATGCTAACATAGCAAACCTTGCTTGAGCAAAGTTTGCTTAGAAGCCAAATAGTATAGAACGGTGAACTTCGCTCAAGTGAAGTTTGTCCAGAAGCCCAATAAGCTAAATTATGACCCTTGCTTGAAGAGTGAAGTTCATCATGAGAAGCACCTTGGCGACTGTCAAAACTTCACCATCGTTGGCAAAGCCATGAATCATAACAAAAAAAGAGGTCAGTTAAGCCTCACTGTTGATGGCGAAGCTAACTCAAGTTCTTTCAAGCACTGTTCAAGCCTGATGAGTGCTATTTTAGTGACAATAGTCTTGTCATTTATGGCGGGGCTAAAAAAGATGAGTTTTGATCCTACCCAAGGCCGTCTCCAATTGTTGCGGTACAGTGGCAGACATTGGCCAATAAGATCCATTAACTATTTGCTTTCCCTTAATGAGTTGAGCATGGGGAGCCACTGGGATGAAAAAGAGCTTGAAAGTTGTTGGAAAACTTATATATTTTTGCGGGTTTAGGGTTTAGGAGGCAAAGTGAAAGAAGAAAATGATGAATATTCTATTTATAGGCTTTGAGCAAGCTTTGCCTAAAGATCTCGTCATGAACTTTGCCCAAAAATTCATCCCCAAACTTCACCTACGAGCGATCCTGACCTCAAATCGAGTCACAAAAAGCAAAAGTTTGAAATTCAAAATCATTTGAGTGAACTTTGCTAACCAACTCAGCGAGCTTCTCTCAAATACCGAAAGGACCTCACCAACCAACCTAGCGAACTTCATCCAAGACTCAACACTGGGCAAACTTCACAAAATTTATAGAAAGCTTCACCTATTGAATTACATGCAAAGCTAATCTTTGCCCTAAAATTCAAGAGGCAAACTATGCTAAGATCAAACTCACAAGGAGAAATAGTTTCACAAAGAATTCATTCTTCCATTGACCACAAATGCTTCTACAAGACAAGTGAGTCCCTATTGCTTGAATTTTATGACGGTTGAGGAATACAAAGAAAACAAGCAAACAATGGAAGGTGTGTAGTCTGAGAAAGAACACACCTAATCACTCTCTAAGTCGACACTTGTGGAACTTAATCACTCTCTGAGTCCTCACTCGTAGAACTCTAAGGATCCTTCTTCAGGCACCATCGAAGCCTCCGAGTGGTCTTACACAGAGCATAGCATTCAAAACTCCATGTGTCTTTGTCACAACTCACCTCATGCTATTCCTTCGATTGTTCTCAAGGACTTGCTCAAGACAAGCCTTCTAGGCCGAAATCAAGTCTACCAATTGGTCGTGAATCTAGGTTTCCTCTACAAAACAAGTATCAACTTAGGACAACTCTTGTTTAAGCTACTTGATCTTAGCTTCTCTATCGGGAAGGAGCAGACTAAGACATAGGGAAGATGAAAAAGGATGAGTTTGGAACTGAAAATGCTATTCATAAGCCTTTTAACCAACTTATCCCAGCAATCACTTCATGTAACCACTCCTTACAAGAAGTGATTGAGCCACTCACAGGCTAAAAGCTAGCTTAAGATTATGTTGTTCGGCGAATCTCTCCTGAATTGAGCACCAAGAGTGATCCTAACTATAGATCAAGGCACGAAATTACAATAGTTTCGACAATATTTGTCTATCGGCAAACTTCATTAAAACATTCACAATTGAGCAAACCCTACCAAAATTCATGGCCTAGTAAATTCCCTTAAGCTATTCACTAAGCTTTGCCCCGATTCAAGGGAAGAAGAATTTCAAGTATTCAACCAAAATGAATCCATGATAAAAGAAGCCATGTTCAATAATACATCTCTGACAACCAAGTAATCAAACAAAATTTGATCTAGCCTAAGCAAGATAATTAAAGTTATGTTCAACATTACACCTCTGGTTATTACCCAAAATATTTTAATCCCCAGTACAAGTCAAATGCAAGATCTCTAAAACTTTAGGGGGGGGGGGAGGCCTTGTAGATGGTCAAAATATATGAGCCCTCTCCTGAACAAATACTAAGTACAGATAACACGAATATAATATGTGAGCCTTCATGAGTCCAATAAGTGAATGATCATGGGCTGAATACTTTAGATGGGCCCAATAGGAGCCATGGCAAAGCTCGACATAGTCACAGCGAAGCTTTCCCAAAGTTGCAATGAAGGTTACTCTGAAGACCAAGTCAAGGTGAAGCTTTAGGTAAAGTTCTCTTAGAACGAGCTCTGCCCAAGTAGTCAATGTGGCCATGACTCATAGTTCAGATAAAGTTCGCCATAGCAAATTTCGTCCATAGCCGTTGTAGGTGAACATTGTCTAGAGCCATTTTTAAGAATTTTGTCTTGTGTAAAAGGCTCACCCCCATTATCTCCTAAGTTAATGACCATTAATCTATACTTAATGGTCACTAACTCTCTCTCTTAGCCTATAAGAGAAGGGAAGATTACTCATTTTTGGCACTCTTGATTATCTTGAACTCTAAGCGTGATCATCTTCAGAATGTTTAGATCTTGGCCATACTTCAACAATCCTTCTAAAACTAGCAAGAAGACCCATCATTTACTATTCAGACCATCAACATAGTATGAGAACGACACTCCATCGACATATGGAAAAGAACCTAGCGATAATTTTTTTCTTATTTCATTATAAGCTTGAAATTGTAATTCTCCCTTCGTTATAATTTCAAAGACCCTAAACAACTTCATGATTAATATGATGTAGTGATATGATGATGATGTTGCAATAGAATGGATAATACTCTCTACTTTATTTGGTATATTAATCTTTATTCTCACATCATTTTCACTTGTATTGTACGCTTTGGTGTAAGTGTTAGGAGTTGAGTAGACATGTTTAATAATGGTGTTATTTATATTGCTGTTGGTTATCATATTTTATTGCTCTACCATTTTATTTGAATACTATTATCTTATTGTTGATCATTATCTTTTTGATCTATCTTCGTTTGATTTATTTTGATTGTGAATTATTATTGACAAGACCATTCTTTTGGATGCCTACTCCTTTGACGGTACATGTTGAATCCACTCTGATGAATTGCTTTTGTTTCCCGTCCCAGGTACTTGATGCAGCATCATCTCATCGATGTATGTCAGAAATGACTTCACAAACTAGTTTCCCTGTGAGGTTGCTACTATCAACTCAGACCCTTCGGATACCCGCAAGATGACTATTTTAGCAAAACAGTCGATACTAATATGGTAAGATGATAGCCAATCCATACCGAGAATGACGTCAAACCCCGACATTCGCAAAATGATTAGATCAATGATAAACTCGGACTCATCTAGACTGATGACACATCTCCTACAGATACTCTCTAATAGGGATACCTCTCTTAAAGGAGTAGAGACGCATAATGGAACGTCTAAGGGATGTGAGACTAGCTGAAGTCTATCCATGAAGGTATGAGAGATAAAAGAATGCGAAGCTCTTGAATTGAACAAGATCCGAGCTGGAAACAAATTCACTAAGAAAGTACCTTCCACTATGGCTCCACTCACACCATGGTCGTGTGGTACGACTGCATAAAGTCTACCAGTGGCTGACGACTGCTGAACTGCTAGCTATGGAACATATGAGATTATCTGTCCCTCAGGAATTTCCTAGATGATGGGAATCTGACCGGCTGACCCCTCAATCCTCGGAATGGCAGGTTGTACCCCTATACTCTGCGGTTGCTGGCCATAACCGTGGCCCTACAACTGCTGACCCTAACCACGGTTCTGCTGCTGCCCGTGTCCTCGTCTCTGCTACTGACGTGAAAATTCTTGCCTCGCTGCTAGGGTCTTCCAGGTCCGGCGAAAGGTCTCTTCCCCTTGCCCTTGTAATTCTGTTGTCCCGACTTTGTTATATGTGAGTATAGATTGTGATAAATAGTAATAAGTATGTTATATGGTTATAAATAACATATTTTGATGCTTGAGTATGCTAGGGATTGATTTGAGATCAATCCAATGTATATATGTGAGTATAGATGAGAAACATGCACGAAATCATGCACAAACCTAAAATTGAGTTATTAGTAGTCGACTACTACTCAGAGTAGTCGACTACTACTCAGAGTAGTCGACTACTACTCAGAGTAGTCGACTACTACTCAGAGTAGTCGACTAGTATGGTCGTTAGTTAACTAATGAAGGCATTAGTCGACTAATCGGGCTATTTCCAGATTTCTTTCAGATTTCAGGTCGGATTCATTTTGTTTCGAACCCAGTTGTATATATGTGTATATATACTCATTTTAAACCTCTTTCACATGAGA